CTGAATACCCCTCTTTCTTTCTTGCGGTGGCGCAAATGACCAAGAGACAAAAAGGTAATATCCATTACCATGCCAAGATAAAGTCAGTGATAAAAGAGCTGTCTTCAACTTCAAATTGGCACTTTTGGCATCTTCTAAATTCTTAACATTCACAAGATCTGCGATACTCAATGCACCAGCAAGATTATTTAGCCCTTCCAGCTCACTTATGCGACGACCATTCTCCCCACCCACAATGAACAGGGTAAGTTTTCGTAGGAATATCAATTGTCTCAGTCCAACAGGCATAAATCGAAGTGAATAACAACCCGTTATGTCAAGATAGACAAGACTTTTCATGTGCTTCATACCTTTTGGTAATTGGATGAGTTTTTGGCAGCGTCTCAGATGTAGTGTCTGGAGGTTTTGGAGTGAGGTTGTACTTTCAGGCAGTGTTTTGAACTCGGAGCCTGATACATCTAGATACCTTAGATGTTTCAAATCACAAATTGACTTCGGAAAATTCCGCACGCGGACATTTATTAATCTCAAGGCTCGATGTTTTCGACTAGGAAACTTTCCCCATTCATTCCAAAGAGCACCATTCCTCAAAAGAAGTGAGCGAAGTGATAGGACCTTGAGAACTTCAGAAGACGAAGCTACTGATTTGTTATAAAAAGCTACATGACGGGCAGTTTTAGGAATTTCCAACTCCCCATCGCCTTCTGTCGTATAGCATTCTTGTGCTGCAACGGATTGTGCAAGATCATGCATAAGATCATGCATTTTACATGTTATGTTGCCCAATCCATCATCCTTGACCTCTTGCAGAAATGACCTTCCCACTAGTTCATTGAATATCTCAATACCCATGAAGTGCAAATCCATTTCTCCACTGCAAGAAATAAAGCCATTTGCCATCCACGAAGCAATCAGCTCCTCCCTCCTCATCACCTGATCTTTTGGAAATATAGCGCAATACGCAAAGCATTGCTTCAAATGTGGTGATAGATTAGTGTAACTCAACCTTAAAGCAGGTAAAATCTCGCTTGCTTCTTCTCTTAGATCCCAAATCTCATTTTCTTTGACAGCTATCCACTGATCTTCCGTTTCTTTTAGCCGCATTAGGTTCCCGAGTGCCTTTATAGCTAAAGGAACACCACCGCACTTCTTCACTATTGATTCTCCAATGTTTTCCAGATGTACCCACTCCTCTTTCCTTCTCATCCCAGTTGCTAGCCGTTGAAACAAATGCCATGAATCTTCTTCAGACAATCTCTCCATGTGCTGGACAAAGGCTGGTTCCATTCTACGAGCAACCATCTCAATACGGGTAGTTATTATTACAGCACTACCTTTAGCTCCACTCCTTAACACCTCCTTCAATTTACTCCACCTATCACCATAATCATCCCACACATCATCCAATACAAGCAAAAACTTCTTTCCATTTAACTTCTGTTGGAGGCATCGTTGCAAGGGATCCAATTCCTGAAGATTACAATAGGCACCATCAATGGACTCTATGTTGGCTCTTGTTAATCTTTTTACATCGAAATCAGTAGATACACACACCCACATCCTCAAACTGAATTGTTGTGTAACCCTTTCTTCATTGTAGACTAATTGAGCAAGTGTTGTTTTCCCGAGGCCCCCCATTCCCCAGATAGCATAAATAGGGAGATCGTCTGCATTAGCGAGCAGGATGTTGACTAGTTCTTCTTTCTCCTTGCCTCTTCCGTAAATTTCTAATTCATTCACGAGTGAGCTGGTAAGCCGCCCATCGTAGGTATCAGAAGCTATGTCGCCAACTCGTGGTGTTAAATTGAACTTGTTTTTCTCATTGGCAATGGCATCCAGTTTTTCTCTCACATTTTTCAATTTATGCGCCATTCTTCGTCGAAAAACAAGTGGATTATGATTGATAGAAAAGAAGGATCTTAGTCGATTTTTGAGATCTCTTCGCTGCTGATGCCACTGAGCTGCAATGGCAAACTCATCTAGCAAATCATCAACATCATAAGCTGCATCCTTGAGGTGTCTGAGCCAAACCTTTATAGCCCCGTCCTTCCACTGCTTCACCTCTGCATCCTGGAGCACAGCTTGAGTAGTTATGAAAGTGCGCTGGAGATGTTCAAGGTCCGTCTCTAGGCTCCCAGCAAGCCCAAGCTCTTGAAGAATTGAGGAATTCAAGTTCCCCATGATTGTACTCACGAGAGCAGAAACAATTGCATCAGCCATAGCTTGTCTTGGAATGGAAAAGAAATGGATGTTGAGAAGAAGTAGAGAAGGTGCGAGGAAAACTAAAAGCAGGGGATGTGAGCAAGGAACGGTAAAGTAAATATTGAGTAGAAAGAGCAGGGTGAGATGAGAAATGGCCAAGGTGAAAGTGTATGGTGATGAGCTTTTCTTCTGCTGTCTATCTGTTTTTATTAGTAATCAATTACAAGTGGATCCATTTTATTCAAAGATTAAAACCCATTCATTTTATTTTATTTTATATTAATACATTAAGATTATCTATTAATATTTTTTAATGGTAGAAAGCAATTTTAAAAATATTTTAAAAAGAACAAGGTACAGCGATACCAAAACAGCAATTGCAGTTTCGGAGAAGGCACGTGGCTGTGTTTTGCTTATTGGTTAGTAAAAGTCTTCGTCCCGCGCGGGCCAAGTCGCTTGGGCTCCACACGGTGCAGACATGACAAGCTATGCTCATCTCTCGTAAGCAAACTGTGCATTTCTCTCCCATCAATTATGACGACGGGCTTTTAAGTAATCTTCCGAAGTATCGTCATGGAAGAGATTGTTTTTAGTTATTTACTAGCAAATACTGCCGCACACGACGACATGATGATATTTTTAAAAATTTTATTTAAAAAAATAAATTTTTAATATTTTATTTTAAAAAAAAAAATATTTTATTTAAAGAGTTATTATATAGTATTATGATCACTGAAAACCTTAACTAATTAATAAAAATTCTATAATATAAGATTAATTACATATAAAAAAAATTATCACCCCTTAAATATTTTATTTGAGGTAAATTGTATTGTTTATTTTATTTTAAATTACTCATTTGACATGAAAAATGACATATTATACTTTGATTCTTGGCGTTTTAAAATGTATCAATTGAGTCCCTTAATCAAATAAATTTTTAATTTTATCTTTCAATTAATTTTAATTAAATCTCTAAATTTATTTAATTAATAAATAAAAATTTAATTAAATTTACAAACTTATTAATTCTTCTAATTTTATTAATTAAACTAATCCAGATTTTAATTAAATTTTTAACTTATTAATTTTTTAATTTTTAACTAATTTACTTTAAAATCTGATAATTTTATTTTTGAAGTTTGAATTTATATTGTTTTAATTCTATTCTCAAATATATTTTTATTTATTTATTTTATATTATTTATTTAAAAATTAGATTATGATAAATATAAAGATCAGTTGTCAAAGATGACAACGACAACAAGCCATCTTTTCCAAGGATTTCTAAGCTTGTTGGAGCTGCAAATTAACGAAGCAAGATTATCAAAATAATAATAATAATTAAAAATCACAACTAAAGAATTGTGAAATAATGTTTTTGTTAAATGTTTTAAAAACTTGTTGATTTTATTTGTTAAATTTTTATCAAAATTATGTAATTTTGATATTTTTATAAAATAAAAAATTAGATTAATCAATTTATTTAACTTATAACCCAATAACTACTCGGGATAAATCCCTGTACTAGGTTTAAAAATAATAAAAAAATGACTTAATTTTTTTATTAAATTCTTTGTAATTTTTTTTAAACTTGTTGGATTTATTTGTTAAATTTTATTAAAATCTATTGAATTAAAAAAAAAACTTTGAATCAAAATAATATTATTTTTATATATTTGTAAAATAAAAAAATAGTTGCCCAAATAACCCTAGCTAATCCACCTCACTTGCAACTCAAGATTTGTCCAGGGATTGACTTCCAGGCTGGTTTAAAAATTTATAATTAAAAAAATGAGGATATAACCTTTTTGTGAATTTTTTTAAAAAATATTGGATAATCTTTTTAAGTTAAAAATATGGTTAAAAGTATGATTGTAGTTGTTTTTTAAAGTGTTTTTTTCTCAAAAATGTATCAAAATAATATTTTTTTAAATCAATTTTGATATCAACATATTAAAATGATTTAAAAATACAAAAAAATAATTTAAAGTAAAGAAAAAAATTTACTTTTTTTAAAAAACACTTTTAAAACATAAAAAAACAAACAGAGCATTGAGTATCTTTGGCCAACTCACTCGATTCGTGATCCAAGATTTGCTTAGGATGGACCCTTGGGCCGAGTTTTTAAATAATAATAAAAAAATAAAGATAAAAGTTACCATGAAAATCAAATAAAATTAAATGATGAAAATCAAATAAAATTAAACAATGAGGAGAAGATAAAATGAAATAAAAATAAATTATAATGAAAAGAATTTGGATATTAAAAAAACAAAAATTTGATATGTAAATTGAAAAAAAATTAATCAAAAGAAGGGAGAAAAAAAACAGGAATATAAAAAAAAACTAAATTTGATATAAATATAACGAATAAAGAATAAAATTAAAACAAATATAAAAAGAATTTAAAATAAATATACAAAAAAAAAGAGCACGTTCCAAATTTGACGGGATGGTGTTCTCGAGCATGACTCCTGGAATGGAATGTATGATCACGGTTGCAGTGTTCTTGTAATTATTTTGATTTGGTTTTTTTTGGGAATTTGGTTTCTAGTAATGGCTGTGTTTTAGATAATGGAAGGTATTGTTTTTTAAGGTATTTTTTATTTAAAAATATATTATAATAGTTTTTAATATCAATAAAGTAAACGAGATATATTTGCTATGACGTGTTTTTCGTTTATTAAAATAAATTCTAAAATTCCTCGTCCCGCACTGGCCAAGCCGCCTGGGCTCCACACGGATATATTTGCTGTGACGTGTTTTTCATTTATTTAAATAAATTCTAAGAATCTTCGTCCCGCACTGGCCAAGCCGCTTGGGCTCCACACGGTGCAGACTTGACTAGCAATGCATATGATGACTAGCAATGCATAAAATTATAAAAAAAATATAGAAAAGCGGATCTTTTCTTCTGATCACCGTTCGATTTCCAACCTGAAAAGCAGAACCACTGCAATAACGTTGATGATGGGAGAAAGCTTACATGTCTACTTGGTTGCCCCCCACTTCTACTTTCAATTCTCACTGCAGAATTCAGTGTGTAAATAGGTCAACACGCTTTCAAGTTCCTGCAACAAGCATTCATTCTAGTCATGAGTCCTGCAATATTAATCCATTGGATTCAGATGCATCAGGCTTCCTTCTAAACCCTCCAGCTCTTCACCCCTCTTACCATCAGCCTGGGGAAGGTGATGGTATTATTGATCTGGGTCTCGGTCTAAGTCTCAGTTAGTCTCAGAACCTTGCAACCTGCAGCTCATCATCCCTTATTCCTCTCATCAACTCTTGTTCAACTTTTGTAGCTCTGCTCATGAAAAAAAATTATTTCTTTCATGAAGTTAGTGTTGCAGTGATATACTTTAGTTTACGAGTATTTCTGGAGAAAAGATGTCGGTAAATCATGAAATAATCGAGAAAACTCTGACTATAAAAAATGCCAAAAAAAGAAGAAATTTCATAGGAGAAAGAACTGTTCTTTACTACGAAAAACCATTGTGATGGAATCAGGATACTAAAACGACTTGAATAGTGATGCTTGTTCTTAATACTGACAAGATCTGAATAGAAATTATTGCAGCTTGTCAATTGGGACAATACAGGATGCCTTTGCTTAGCTGAAAGACTTTCCATTTGCATTCAAAGCTTGTGCCTCAAGAAGCAGCCCATTTTTTGTCTGTAACTTCTAATCCGAGAATACGTTTTTAATGTTTTTAAATAATTTTTTTAATTTT